GTTGAGTTTCGTGAGGTGATAAATCTAGAATGTAAACTTCAATGGACACTGATCTGATATTTGAACATATCGGTTATGATATTAATTCTACGGATTATCTAGACGTGAATCGAAAATATTGAATTTCTACTGGATTACATTTTAATGTCCCGTTAAGTACTGATCTTAAAGCGTCCCTTGAAGGTCCCATCGGAGGTCATGTCGAAACTGATTCTGTCATTATACTCTGCAGACATCCAATCATCTATTGCAGTGGAGTGTCTGATGAAATTCTTATTCACGAGGCTCACCGACACCCATGAAGTGCGAATGTCTCTGAACGTAACGGTGCTAATTTCTCCTGAAGGATTTGATGATATGTGCCCTGATCTGTATGTGTGAATTCACATCCAGAATGTACCACTTGTCACAATTAAGAGCAAAGTTTTGTGGTACCAATTAAGTTCGCATTCAAATAGTACACGTCGTCGCGGTTTTTTTCTTCGAGAACTATCGGGGAATACTAGAACGAAATTTCTGGTCAGTATGAATACAGTTGACCCAAGTCGGAATATGGTTATATTTAAAAGATATTGTTCGTATTCAATTTCCAAGGATAGGATAGATCGATGTTGTCTAAGGAAAGATACTGGAAGGTGTTCCGAATAATATGTCTAGAACTTTCAAAATGTTCATCTCACAGGTGATTCCAATGACGGACATTAGCTTATCATTCATTTTCTAGCATATACTGAATATTATGTTCCATATGTGGATAGATGCGACCTGGAAGAGACAAGCCTATATGTTATGAGAAGGGATGATCCAGGACGGATTTCAATGAAATGGCCAGGGATAGACCGTTCCATATTTTTTAATATACATTAAAAATAATATTTTAAAACACATGGCGAAGCATTTCAACGCAGTACCCGCTAAAGTCGAAATATACGAAAACGATTTCCACTTATATAGTCGCAGAACACTTTAACCAAAAATGATATAAAACATATGATATTTACATAATCATTGTGTATCCCTGAATGACACGCTTCCAGACGTTTAGTCATGAACGTACTCCAAAGCGGTTCGTTCCCTCTGACGATACGTACGACTCAAATCATGTTTCAGGGAGGTTTTTCGAACGTTTCCACGATACGTATTGAGAGGAACGTATAAAGGATTAATTCCAACACGGGTCTTTGCTTACTGGGTACGCAAAATGGGCTGGGAAAGCGTAGGGGATGATCTCCAAATTAATATTTCCCCTAGATTTCTCAAGGCGGAACCATTCAGAAAATTGTCTTGTTGCAGTACTACGCAAAATGAGCTGGGAAAGCGAATGGAGTCATCTCCAAATTAATATCTCCGCTAGATTTCCCAAACCGGAACAAATTAGAAAAATGTGCTGTTTTTGGTGTATACCTACGCAAAATGGGCTGGGAAAGCGAATGGAATCATCTCCAAATTAATATCTGCGCTAGATTTCCCAAACCGGAACCATTCACAACATTATGCTGTTTTCGCTGTAAACCTAGGCAAAATGAGCTGCGAAAGCGAATGGAATCATCTCCAAATTAATATCTGCGCTAGATTTCACAAACCGGAATCAGTCAGAAAATTGTCCTGTTTTTGGTGCAAACCTACGCAAACCGGGCTGGGAAAGCGAATGGAATCATCTCCAAATCCATATCTCTCTTAGATTTCCCAAACAGGAACCATTCAGAAAATTGTGCTGTTTTTGGTTTAAACCTACGCAAAATGGGCTAGGAAAGCGAATGGGATGATCTCCAAATTAATATCTCACCTAGATTTCCCAAAGCGGAACCATTCAGAAAATTGTCTTGTTTTTGGTGTAAACCTACGCATACCGGGCTGGGAAAGCGAATGGAATCATCTCCAAATGCATATCTCTCTTAGATTTTTCAAACAGGGACCATTCAGAAAATTGTACTGTTTTTGGTGTACACCTACGCAAAATCAGGAAGCATCAGGAAGCGACAAGATTGTTTAACAATTGTGACATTACTAATCGTGCTGTTGCTCGTGCCGGTGCTAGAGCTAGTGCTGGTGCTGGTACTGGTCCAAAGACCGTTGTCGTCGGTGTAGACATGCGCGGTACTTTCAGCTACTGTCTCCTGCTCCAGGTATTCAGCATGTGAAGTGTGATCAGTGGAAAGAGTTGCGCTCTTCATGGCTCATGCCTGATCCTGTTCATCTGCCGAGAGGGAATTTTCTATGAGAGTGCATTCTAAACATTGATATTTGATCAATCAACAAACCCAAGTATCCGTTTGGTTGTTTTTCTATTAAAAGATGAGAAATTATTTTTTTAGTTTAAAAAATGATTCTGTTCTTCCGTTCGAATTGTCATGAAACATCATTAGTCTACTGAATTCATGATTATTCAATTGGATCATTGACGGACTTTTGGCCAAAACAAACTCTAATTCTCCAAAAATAATTCACGATCATATTGGCAAGCTCTCTCGGAACTCATATGATTGATTGATACAAAGAAACATCTAAAATGTTACATTTTATTACTTAATGTAAATGGAGAAACACGAAAAAAAAGTAAATCATCGAACAATGAATAATAGACGAGAAGTCAACAACAAATGCCTCTTCTACTGATTATCTAATTGGAAAAATGCTTACTCAGCCTGCTGTCACTAATAAAGCTATTTCAAAGTCTATTCAATCTAGATAATTCGAGTCTAGCAAATGTGGAGTCTGAATGGAGACCCAACTGCTCATCCTCAAATGGATTAATTCGGTGTTTCTAATGATGCTTACCTTCAAAGACCTCTTTTAATGATTATCTAATTGGAAAAATGCTTCCTCAGCCTGCTGCCAAAATAAAGCTATTTCAAAGTCAATTTAATCCAGATAATTGGAGTCTAGCACATGTGGAGTCTGAATGGAGACCCAACTGCTCATCCTTAAATGGATTAATTCGGTATTTCTGATGATGTTTGCCTTCAAAAACGAAACTTACTCCCAGCAAATCATTGAGGAATCATTTCCAATTATTTTTCTTATCAATTACTGACAAGCATCAGGAACCGACAAGATTATGATTGGCAAGCTGTTGTCGAAATCAGATAATTTGAAGAGAAATATAAAAAATGTGAATAACAATTGTGACATTACCAATCGTGTTGTTGCTGGTGCCGGCGCTAGCGCTAGTGCTGGTCCCGGCGCTAGCGCTACTGCTGGTGCTACCACTGGTGGCAAGAATTTTGCTGTCGGTGTGGACATGCGCGGTACTTTTAACTACTGGTCATTGGTTCGCCAATGATCCACTGCCTCCTGCTCCAGGTTTTCAGGAGGAGAACTGCGATCAGGGGAACGAGTTGCGCTCTTCATGGCTGATGCCTGATCCTGTTCATCTGCAGAGAGAGAATTTTCTATGAGAGTGCATTCTAAACATTGATATTTGATCAATCAACAAACCCAAGTATCCGTTTGGTTTTTTTTCTATTAATACAGGAGAAATAATTTAAAAAAAAAAATTTTTGGAATAAAATGTCGTGTGGTGATGCAACGTACGGTCAGGGAGATGAGAGATCATCGAACGGGAATGAAGAAATTATGGGTGACGGGTTGAGAAATATTTTGTTGTCAGGAAATTTAATAATTTAACGTCTTCTTAATTAATTTTCAACTCATGAAATATTAAAAATAAAAAAAATAAAAAAATGTCGTGGTGTAATGTGGGGTCAGGGAGATGTAAGATCATCAAATAAGAATGAAGAAATGATGGGTGAAGGGTTGATGAATTTTTAATTGTCGAGAAATTTAACAATTAAACGTTTTGTTGATTAAATTTCAACTCTTTTCATTATTTCATCTTCTGTTTATTTAGAACGGTGATTGTAGCTGTCACCAGGCCAGATGCAAGGAGGATTCGAGTAAATGCCCCTCCAAGCAAATTTGAACTGGATAGATATATCTTGGGCAATTTCCAGGGAACAGAGGTCAGACTTCTTCTCTGGGAGGAAATGGCTGTAATATTTAGAGGCAGAATTGAAAATATGGTGCTCAAAATTTGTCGCCCTAGGGTTGTAGCAGCTAATCCTGCTTTGATTTATATATGTCAAAACCCCAATAGTTGCCAACTACCATGACTGATAGCTCAATTGGCAGACTGATAGCTTAGTCGGTAAGAGTGCCCGGCGCGTAACTGGGAGACTCGGGTTCGAATCCCGGCTGGGCGAATCGGAATTTTTTCTCTCTAAATTTCAATTCTATTTGAATTTATTTAATGCCTAAAGGTGGTTAGGCGGCGTGCTGAGTTGAATTTGGAGTGAGAATTTCCGTGGTTCCCGGTAGCTTAGTCGGTAAGAGTGCCCGGCGCGTAACTGGGAGACCCGGGTTCGAATCCCGGCTGGGCGAATCGGAATTTTTTCTCTCTAAATTTCAATTCTATTTGAATTTATTTAATGCCTAAAGGTGGTTAGGCGGCGTGCTGAGTTGAATTTGGAGTGAGAATTTCCATAGTTCTCGGTAGCTTAGTCGGTAAGAGTGCCCGGCGCGTAACTGGGAGACCCGGGTGCGAATCCCGGCTGGGCGAATCGGAATTTTTTCTCTCTAAATTTCAATTCTATTTGAATTTTTTTTTAGCTGCCAATTGAGCTATCCCCCAACAGCAACGCAGAAATTATCTTGGGTCCGATGCCTCAACCAAGAGCTGCACTTCCTCAGGTTGAGGACTTTGCCATGGCGAATCTTGCAGCTGCTGAAGGACGAGTGATTTGTAAGTGAAAACTTCTGCTTTGCCGAATTTTCAAGATCTAAAATTTTCGTCACTTAATCCTTCTCACTGGATTCGTTCAGGCTCAATTTCTTCGCAGCACTGTTGGAAACGTCTGCTTTAGCAGTGGTGCTGTCACTGATGGCGTCTCATCGTCAATATCACAAATTTCGATCAAAATTCAAATGTCGGGGTTCATGTCAGACTGCAAGGGCTGCTTCGTCGCAATCGCTACAATAACATCGTGCTCCAAGTCACCGCCATGACGGATGTCACTGTTGTCGATGACACAGTCATGAATCCCAGGGAATTGAGACGTGGTCACGCTGTCATCCCTAATGTCGCTCCTGCCGTTCAGCCAGCACCTGTTGTTCAATCAGTACCTGTTGTTCAACCAGCACCTGTTGTTCAACCAGCACCTGTTGTTCAACCAGCACCTGTTGTTCAACCAGCACCTGCTGCTCAGCCACTTTCTGCTGTTCAAAACTACGGCTCAAAACTACGGTCAAAACTACGGCGTACTTGCTGCTGGTCAGCAATTCGATGCAAGATAGTTGGTGGTGGAGGAGAGCGAGTCGGACGACGATGTCACTATAAGTCAGAAGGCAAAGGAATTGAGCCGAAAAATCGGAGAAATCGCTGCACCTTTGAAGGATTCAGGGAAGAGATCTGGAAAGGGATCCGGAAAGTGCTCTGGTAAGGGATCTGGTAAGGGTCGGAAGAGGAGCAGTGGTGGTGAGTCCAGTAGCACGAATCCTAAGAGTAAAAGAACTTATAAACAGGTTCTCATGGATCTCACTGCTGAAAAAACCAATTCTGATTCAGACTGACGGAGGAGTTTTCTTTTGAATGAGGAAAAATTTGTTTGGAGGGGAAGGGGAACTTCCTAAGGGGGATTTGTTTAATATTCTTGATGATTTTTTCTTAATCTGCGGATTTAATTCATGTTCAAGACATCAACATCCGTAAAGAAGATATGACTTCCTTGCCAGCATGATTTTTCTTTTTTTTTTAAGTTCATGATGATTTCATATATATTTTTTTCATCTTCACACTGAGAAGTTTGATTAGGAGAAAAGTTATTGTTCTTGGATCGCGAGTTCTCCACGTTTTTCTATGGGAAAGCTATTTTCTGAGTGGCGAGGGAGAAATTTACTGGGGGGGAAGGAATAGAATGATCTTAATGTTCTCATAGAGGAGTTTTTTCTTCTAAAAGAAGAAAAATTTGTTTAGAGGCGGAGGGGAACTCCCTGAGGGGATTTTTTTTATGTTCTTGATTATTTTTTTTTATCTGCAGATTTAATTCATTTTCAAGAGTTGAACATCCGTAAAGAAAGATAAGTTTTCCTTGCCAGGATCAATTTTCATTTTTTTGTTTCATAATGTTATTTGTTTAATTGCGCATCCAATTTTTTTTGTCTAAGACATGAAAAAATTACCTGTCTCGTGAAGTCTCTTTTTTTTTAAATTTCATATTCGATATCATTTTTTTTTTTTCTGCAGATTTAATTCATTTTCACCAGAAAGTTTCTGGAGCAGCACAGCGGGGATCTGAGGGTAGCAGTAGGGCTCCTCACGGGTCATACAGCTCTCAGAGCTCATCTGTTCAAGATGAAACTTGCAGAACAACAAGACTGCAGACTGTGCGGAGGTGAGAAGGATGGCGTCATCCACATTTTATGTGAATTAGCACTCCGTCGCTATAATCTGGGGCCAGGCTTTCCTGGAACCAGAGGACTTACAACAAGCGGCTGTCACCAGCCTTATTAGCCTAGTGAGAAACACAGGGCTGGGGCTGTGTGACTGACCGAAACTAAGGCGGATGTTACAAAAAATCGTATGATTTAGGTGACTCTGGGCGCTTTAAGTGAGCAGCTGTGCATATTCTATTCTTCTATTCTATTCTAATTCATCTTCAAGACTTAAACATCCGTAAAGAAAGGTAAGTTTCTTGCCAAGATGAATTTCAATTTTTTTGTTTCATAATGTTTTTTTTTATTTGCGCAATTCAATTTTGTTTGTCTAAGACATGAAAATATTATCTGTCTCATGAAGTATCTTTTTTTTTTAATTTCATATTCGATAAATTTTTTTCCTGCAAATTTAATGGCTTTTTGTTAGAGAGACAATAGTATTTATCAATAGCAAGGTAGAAGTTTTCTGGAGGAACAAGTTGTGTCCTGTGAGGAGAAATTTTTTTTTTATATTTGCATTCTAATTTCGATTTGTTTATCGACGAATTGAATTCGTGATTTTCTTTATTTGACACAACAGTATTGGTTAGTATTCTCATATGTCTACTATTGGAAACCAAAAATAGGATATTCGAGGACTGATCGCAGTACAAAATATTTAATAGAAATTAAGAATATCAGAGAAAAGTATCAGGGAAAGAAATACGTGATTTGTCATTGACAATACTCAAGTCCAGTGATTTGAAGAGATAATATTCTGATAGGAATAAAGTAGTTTATCACGTACGAATAAATAAAAAAAATGATATTTATTTCTGAAGAAAAAAGCATGAATAATTGACATTTGTTAAGAAAAGAAAATAATTTTATATTGATAATTTTTTTGAAGAAGTTATGATATGTTGTGTAGCAGGAATGACGTGTTGAATATTCATATAAATCGTTTAATATTTTTATAAATGATGCGATAGTTTCATGACAATTGAAAAAAGCTTTTGTACTGTATATTGTGAGTATATAATAAGTAATGAGAGTTTCTGATGACAATGAGAAAGGAAATGAGATTTTCCGATTCCAATGCCTTAGCGTTTAAGAACAGTTTTTGTATAATTTATTGGTTTGTATTACAGAAGTTTTCATAATAAAAAATAAACGTGTTCGATTTACATGAAAAGTGATATTCAATACCCTCAATAAACGTTAAAATAAATTTTAGAATGACTATTGATGTCTCTTTTTTTTCAAATTTTCGCGGTGTCCAGAGAATAAACGATAATTTTTTCCTGTTCCTCAAAGCCGGTGCACAATCAAAAAGAATAAGAAACAAACAACAAATTCCTAATCCTTATTTTTCTTCATTTCCATTCCTTATATTTCTTGATTTCCATTCCTTATATTTCTCTTTGTGATATAAACGTGGCAGAAGGCATCGTGCTATCTTCAAACGAGGTAATTAATATTATAAATTCAATAAATAATGTACCATTTTTCTTTTGAAGTAACATAAAATTATTCAATTCACTGGTAAATGAATTATTTAATACAGTCGTGTGTTGGCTATACACAAAAAGCATTTTTTATAACCCACAAAATCCCCATCATCGGCCATCGTGGATATTCGCTTTACTTTATCCTTCCGCAATTGAAATTACAAGGTGAGAGAAAGTTGTAAATAAGCTTATTAATTGGAGTAATTTCGAAAAAGCCTGTAACAATTGAAGGGACACATGGATCTTCATTAATCAAGAGTATAATCAATAAATTCCTTCAGGCATTTGTTTAGATAATAATATAATACCTCTCTTGAAATTGAGAAGCGAAAAAAATGAAAAAATGATATTTCATCAAGAAATTTCAGTGAAAATCTATTGGAAAAGTATCCAAATTCTCTTTGAGTCGTACTAAAATCCGATCGAAAAAATCTATTAGTTTTCTTTTCCTTCAATCTTATTGAAAATTATGCAATATCCTGATGTGTTCTTCACTCAACATTCAGTCAGAAAAAATGTCCATAGATGTTGATTGTTCCACATAAGTTATCCTCTTGGGTTTTTTTTTCAATGAAGATTTTCAAGCATCAATTTTTTTTCTTGCATTTTATCATGCGTGCTATATATGAATACGATGGAGAAAACACTGGAAGAATTTCCATTCAAGAAATACTATATATAAACATGAAAATCGATAGACTTTTTCCTGTTAAATATTCCGAAAAAAAAGACATGAAAGTTGCATAATTGCCTACAGAAATGGCGCTTCATACTGATATAGTAATTAAATTGAATGTTAATTGAACTTCGAGAGAATTCTGATAGATCTCCAATAGTAATGAAATAGACTTTCTTGAAGATAACACTGAATGTTTTTTTTATCAAAATTTTCTCACAATTGAATTAGAATATATAATTCAGAAGAATATGCTGCATCTCACTTTCTATTCAATCATAATCCTAACTATCAATTCCATGTGTTTTGAATACCAAAATTTGTATACTCATTCATCAAGATCGGTTAAGGAACAACATTCTACCATTTCTCATTACTCAATGTAGAATTTACTTATAATTATCGGAATTTAATTATTCCAGGGACCAAAGAGAGGAGGAAGGTTTATATAAATCCTCAAAATTTCGTAAGTTCATTTGTCTATTCTCCATTCATTATTTTTTATCCTTGATACACTTGCAAAGCTTTTTTGAAGCTAATACTTCAAAATCCTTTTACAGGGGAAATACTTTTGGCACCTGCATCAGCGGAGAATAAACTTCGCACATGAATTAACTTATATTGGGTACAAATACATTGTTTTTTGTGCATTATAACTATTTTAAATATAAATGAATCCACTGAACATTTTCATCCTTATTTTATACCATACGCTGATATCCCTCAGGCGAAAAGATTTTGAGACGAATAGAAAATCTAGATCAAAAGACAATTGAAAAGTGTTGATTTGATGAATAGAATTTAAGAGAAACTAAATCAAAAGACAATCGAGAAACTTCAGTTTGAAAGAGATTGACAAGCGACTTAATAAGACTATTACCTGTGGAATAAAATCAGGAATTTGCGAAAGAAAAAGAAGATTATATGATTGGGAAAAATTAAAGCTTGCACTGAATAATTCCAACTTATAGAAACATTGCCAAGATGTCAAAACGTCCATTGAGTTTCAGAACGGAACAAATTAGTTCTAAGAAAGTTAAGTTCACTAAGAACATTCGAAATCCATCGACAGACAAACAAGATTAGAAATTGGGTCATAATGGAATAAACGTGCGAGCCTCTACCACTTTTCCTATTTCAAATACTTTCCAAGAACACAATTATTCCAGAGCATCTAAAGTCGCTCGAAAATCATCGCAGTTAAAAAATTCCAGAACGATTCCTACGCAACCCATTCAAACTGATCATCAATATAGTTGTCAATCCAAATGCGTCACACTTCCCATGTCAAATCATGATCCCAATGAACGATTGGGAATTCCACATATCAGATCAAGCGATTCTTGTCAATCAGATTGTCTATTTATTAGGTCTAAAACTCCCTCTATTCACGATTCAATATTGACAACTGATGTGAACACTTCCAAGCTTACCATATCAAATGATCCTCTTTTACGAATTCTCACTAGATCGGACAGAAAAAATGGGGGTTTAATTTTCCGACGGATGAATTTTTCGATTCATTAAAGTGCACTGTCGCGGTACGAATTTTTCATTTTAGAGCAGCCTAAGGTAAGCGAAATTCGTCAAGCGGTTGCCGAAAATCACTAATATTGCCGAAACTAAGTTCACACAAAATTCACACCCGCACTATCACATCTTCCGAATTTTCCGCGAGAACCGAACAATTTATTTTCAAAAGACTCTAATTTTTGGAGTATCAACAGACCTTCGGGGTAGAGAAAATAATGGTTGTTATCACTAGACTCACCCTGAATTTTTCCTGACCGGTTTGGCAACAAAACAAGGAAGGTACACCAGATCATTTATAACCTCTCGAATGATAGAGGCGAATTTGGGTCGTCGGAAACCTCCAGCTTTCCTCTGACAGGCTGGGTGACGTCCTTCTACTACACACACGTTCAGTTCCTCTACTTTTATTATATTCACTTTCAAATTGCTGAATAAAA